CGACGCAGCCTCCGCGACGAGAATGGCCAGTTGGCAACAGCTTTCATGTTTCGTGGTATTGGCAAGGCAAGGCATGACCTAAAGGTCATGACCTAGGAAGCTCAAACTTTGACCTAAGTGAGTTTACGTACAGGTCAAGGCACGCTGTACATTTGGTGTTTCTAGTTCCTTAGTTCCCGAGATCATAGGGGGGTCAAATTGACCTCCCCCCCTCACCCGAGCGAAGGATATCTAGCCGGCCACCCGGGCGCGTGTTAATGAGCTGTCCCTAATGCCAAAATGAGTTGCTGATATAAGGCACGCAATGGATTTATTGTATGCTGTAATACCTCAATAGGCTCAAAATGTCGGCAAGATCCTAATGAAGTACCAGCTTGCCTTTGTACACCCCTGCAACATAGTGCTAGTGATTCCTTTACTTTGCTCATGTGTTTCGAAGCATTCTTTAGGTCTGGCTGCCAGATGCTGCCCGGCGTTGCTGTCGTCACAGAACTATTTCATGACGTCATCAAACAATGACATAATGGGGCGTATTTTTACAAACTTTTAAATTTTACTACTTAACGTCGCTTTTGAGCCTCGAAGGCTTACCAATAGTTGGAAATAAGCTTTTCCCCTCATATCTGATGCGTGCCTCAATATCTTCAAATCTGGAACATTCCTTTTAAGTGAGAAATAATGCTAGCGCCCGCGTAACATCGGATATAGTCAAGCTTATGTTAACACGCACCCTGACGTTGTGTTTAATACGATGCGTTCAGGTGGGGATGGCAGGGTAAGTTCGACTGCACTGGTATATCGAAAACTAAACTAAATCAACAAAAACTGTTACCCCAAACTCTCAGCGTACATAGGGCGCCACGTGAGCTCAGTGCGAAATTTTAGTGCCTCTGGATCGTGACTTTCGGGTAAAAAAGGTAAAATAAGATCAAACATGAGTTTGATATCAGAAATGCCCTCAAACCTCCTGATGGAACCAGCTTTAACCCACATATTCTTGTGAGCAAAAGGTTAATCGGTGTCAGATCAGGTCAATCACCTCATCTAACCTTACTTCAAAAATGATTATAAACCAGGGATATGATGATATATGATGATATTTACCTAAATCTATCACAACTACTCATGTTTTTCCGTGCATTAGCGAAGAACATTATTCACATAGATAAGACATTAGCATTAGCCTTATTCTTCGGAGAAAAACCAGGAGAATGAAGACATAGTTGGGTTGATATTTCTGCAACATGTCTTTATTGAAACAGTAGCAGAAGTAAATTACTTCTGCAATTGTTCATTGTCGTATTGTCACCGCAACATTCATTTTAACTAGGCTAACGCACCCTCCATGATTTTTTTAGAACATTTTTGGCATTCAGGATAGTTCAGGCAGTTCTCTGACATTTCATCTCCACCTTTTAAAAGGATCTCATACCATGAGCGATCTACGAGGAGATATCTTGCGAAAAACCTCTGGCTCAGTCAGAAGCATAAGCTTGGAGTACAGGATACAGCTGATCGACACTCACACATACCCAGCTCAAAGGGGATGAAGGGGCTGTCGATGTGCTTTAGCGACGACTCTGCTCTACCACACTCCCTCGAACGTCAACAATGGCCAGTAACTGTTTGCAATTAATCGACACCACCTCCACACGACTGAGGCTTCTGAGAAGTTTGGAGGCTCTATATCCGTGACCTTTCTAGGACGATTAAGCAGTCTCCAAGATAAGTCTAGACGTTTCGATTAAGGAAAACAGTTGACGATGTTGTGAAGTGTCGTGTGATGCGAACGAACGACATGGTCAGCTCATCCCAAACACCTTACAAAATGCATGCATGCTAGGTTACAAACGTGGTTGATGAGTGCCTGATGAGTCATGAAAAGGTCAAAGGAAGTGAGCGCTTTCGTTATAAACAATTTTGTCGTTATTTTGCGACTTATGTGGCATGTGTGATCATGGGCGCCGCAATATGAAGCGCCGATTGTGGCAGGGGACAGGGCAGCGCCAGTCTGGTAGCACCGGGATCAAAGCCGCTACATAATTGCTTGTCGTGGGCGGCCGTCTGGCAGCTGAGCTGGCCCGCGCCCCGTCACAACCGCAGGCCAGCCGGGCCCATTAACACCGGAGCCGGCTCATGCTATAGAAATGCAGCCTAAAAAACATACTCAATATATTTCGCTCTGCAGCTTCTTGAGACTCGCACCAAGGTAACAATCCTCCCCCGACCGGACGCCGCCAGGCTTTCAGAGTGCTGGTGGTCACTGACGGCATTGAACGTATGCAGCTCGCGCGACTATTAAAGCTGCCCGTATGCATACTCTGCCGCGTTGGCACCATACCTCACGCCAATGCGGGAGATAATAGGATGTGCCCTTGAAAGCGCGGCAAACCAGTTTTCGCTCAAGAGTCTAGCGAAAAGTTAAGAAATGCTTGGCCCTCCCAGCTCACGTCAGACCGTTATTGAGATTTTCGTTGTCCGCCACGGAGCAGTCGGAGTCTTCCAGGCCGTCTGCAGCACTCTGCCGCAGACACACTGTAAGTGGTCAAAGACACACTGTAGGTGGTCAAAGACACACTGTAGGTGGTCAAAGACACACTGTAGGTGGTCAAAGCCGGGCTGACGTTGATGGCGCCGAGGGTGAAATGGCGCCACATAATTTGACTTGACGTCATCTCCAAGGTTTATAGCCCGCAGCCGTCGAGCAACTGCAGTATCTGCTGCAGAAAACCGACAGAAACGCATCTATAAACGGGGCTTAATTGTACAAGAATCGTGTTCCCTTCATCAGTTGTGTGTGTATGTTGTGTCAGGACGTTGATTCGCCCGTGTGGTAACCGCAATATACGCCATGCGGGACTCGCTGCTCTGACACCGTTACGTAATGTATATAAGGGACCTTATGCAACATGTTGCAATTTTTCTCTGATAACGGGTCGTACGGTTCATAACCACAAGGCACACATTGATGATATGACTGTCTGTATGACCCCCAGCCCCCCCCCCCCCCCCAACTGATACCAGGTCATACGTGTGTCATGACCGCCAGGCCCCCTACTGACGCCAGGTCATACGTGTGGCATGACTCCCAGGACCCCTTCTGACGCCAGGTCATACGTGTGACATGACTCCCAGCCCCCCCCCCCCCCCCCCACTGATGCCAGGTTGTGCGCGTGGCATGACTCCCAGACCTCCCCATAGACACCAAGTTATACCTGTGGCATGCCTCCCAGACCCCTCACTGGCGCCAGGTCATACGTGTGACATGACTCCCAGATCTACCCCTCCCCCCCCCCCCTCCACTCATCAAATTACCTGTTTGATTGTGTGAGGCGCGCGTCTTGCTGCAAATGAACCATGAACAGGCCCGTCAGGTTTTTATAAAAGCTCAGGGGATTGAAGGGAGTGTTTCGCATATGAAAGGGTGTTTGACCTGGAAAAGCCATCTTGAAGATAATTCGGTGCGGTTCATAGTGCCGCCATTTTTATTACCCGAGCCCTCCAGTCTCTGAGGTACATTAACGCGAAGTTCAGCAGACTGTTTTTGACAACTATTTTAAGGCTACTTAAGCGCCCATGACAACATAATAAAGTCATCCAAGTTATGACATTTCACTGACCATGCGGCGCTCAAGGTGGGTAGAAATATGATTGTCGAGTCGTTCACATCTTGTGTTTGTGAGCAGGATTTCCAGACATAGCGGTCTTCAGTTGGCCCCCAACCAACGCTATGCAACCAATGTAGTACTTGAACATGAATTACGTTTTGTGTTACATAACGCAAGAGGTTATAAATTTGTTTACTTATTAGTGAATTAAGACTTGTGATCTGATAACTTGAGAAGAGCGTATCACCCCAGCATGTCAAACGCACACGACACTCAGCATCAGGAAACGGTCGGAACTCGAGCTGCAGCTGAACGACATTCGGGTCAGCACACATCCAGCGACGCCGCGGGCCAACTCTCGGGGTGGGGGGAAGAACTTCAAGTGAGTGCCGTTGTACATACCTGTCATAACGCAATTAGTCAATGACGCATTGAGGAGCGTATTTACTAAAAAGAAAAATTTCGCTGTCTAGAGCAGTCTTTTCCACTTAAAAGTATGCCATTTCACATGTGATTTTACTTCATTATATCTTATGCTTGCTTCAATATGTTCAAATGTGGAGCAATCCCTTAAATATTTCACAGACGACAGATCCAAGGTTAAGACTTTGTGGACTGGGTTCTGTATATACCACCAATCAAACCCACCGTTAGACTTTGTGGACTGGGTTCTGTATATACCACCAATCAAACCCACCGTTAGACTTTGTGGACTGGGTTCTGTATACACCACCAATCAAACCCACCGTTCGGCGTCGTAGGATAACATTTCAACAGCGAAAAGCCACAGGCTTTCGACAGGATGTTTACGTCACACTGTGAGTCGGGTCATGGTGTTCAATGTCGCTGCTAGTCACCCTGAATATTGCGTTTCTCGTTTAAACAAGCCAAAAGGTTCCGTGAAACAACGGCCGGCGAGAATAGCGTGACATATGTGCCCACAGTAAAACGTATCAGAATAGCTGCAACTCGACATTTGATAAGCCGAACTGGCGTGAACAAAAAATATATGACAGTGTGTCCATATCTCATAGATTACCAGTAAACAAAGAGCACGACCAGAAGAGCTTCGTGCAGAAACCGTAAAAACAGTATTATTGATGGCCACTAAAAGTAGAGCCGAAAATGTCCCTTCCGAAAAGGCACCAGGCTAGTGGGAGTCTGAAGAGCACAGCATTCTGAGTGGACAAACCACCGAGTTGTCCAAACAGTGCTCACTGAACAACACGGACGAGAGACACGCTCGTTCGCCGCGCGACCAATCGTGGTTTGCCAGAGACAGCTGCGGCAACGCGCTGGCACCTGCTGGCCGGGCCAGTTGGCCGGCACGCGGCTCGCCGTGATGGATGCGCCCACTCGGCAGGCACGCTGCCGTCGGTGGCGCGGGCTCACCGTGCGCGCGCGATGCTCCGTCAGCGGCAGGCCGGCGCGCGACTGGCCGGCCCCGGCCGAGCGCCAAAGCTGGGCCGGCAGACGCCCGTCCTGTCCCGCCACACCAGATCGCCGGGTCCGGCACTAGTGTTTATCGGTTCTGGCGGCCGCTTCAAATGACAGTGGCGGACGTAGGGACCTGTGGTGGCGAGTTTGAAGGCAACGTGGGTGTGTGGTGTGCAAACTGTTCTTGGGATCATATGAAAAAAAAACAACAGTTTGGCCGGGAAGCTCGAAGACCATCCGCTTTTTTCGTTGAAGTTGCGCATTAACCGTGCGATAACGCATCGAAATAAATGCAAACGGGCTTACAACACGTAAAAGTCGTTGAGACGCCATGCAATTTTTGTCTCCCCCCCCCCCCCCCCTATAAGACTGAGGTGCACCGACAGCCATTGCCCCACATTCTGAGTACAGTGAAGTCTCTCAGTGACAGCTTGCTGTAAGATATGGCAACCCATCGGGAAGATAAATGTTCCATTAAGCCGGACGTGCGTGTTGGCGTTCATGGGAGCGCGCCGTGACATGATCTGCTCTGTACAACCTCGGTCCAGGGACACGCCGTGACATGATCTGCTCTGTACAACCTCGGTCCAGGGACACACCATGACATGATCTGCTCCGTACAACCTCGGTCCAGGGACACACCGTGACATGATCCGCGCTGTACAACCTCGGTCCAGGGACACACCGTGACATGATCTGCTCCGTACAACCTCGGTCCAGGGACACACCGTGACATGATCCGCGCTGTACAACCTCGGTCCAGGGACACGCCGTGACATGCCCCGCTCCATACAGCCCCCATCCAGGGACACGCTGTGACATGCTCCGCTCCATACAGCCCCCGTCCAGGGACATGCCGTGACATGCCCCGCTCCATACAGCCCCCATCCAGGGACACGCTGTGACATGCTCCGCTCCATACAGCCCCCGTCCAGGGACATGCCGTGACATGCTCCGCTCCATACAGTCCCCGTCCAGGGACACGCTGTGACATGCTCCGCTCCATAGAGTCCCCGTCCAGGGACATGCCGTGACATGCTCCGCTCCATACAGCCCCCGTCCAGGGACACGCTGTGACATGCTCCGTTCCATACAGCCCCCGTCCAGGGACGCGCTGGGACATGCTCCGCTCCATACAGCCCCCGTCCAGACGAGCGGTCTCGGAGGAGCACCCGCATCTACATATGAAGCTCACCAGCACCATTTGCACGGGCGATTGTACTATGCGAGAGGTGACCTTTGAAAGGACTGGAGAGGGCAACCTCCTGTAGTTCATACTTTATCGTTCAACGTTGTAAAGCCAGAATAACATAGTATATGTGCTGACAACCCAGCGCAATGTGAGTAGCTTGAACCGGACATTGTAAAGGTCACTTACCAGGCTGGCATGAACAACGAACATCTGACCGATACCTCATGTTTTCAAAAGTGCCCACCCCGGCTCATGTGCCCTTGTGCCTTTTCAATGTCGGAGCTCAAAGCGCATATGCAGCAGAGCTTGTTACTTGAGTGAAGCTAGATGGCGTTAAGCCCTAATGTCACTGATCTGTTTCCTGTGTGGGACTTTAAGGGCTGGTAGATTAGCGTAGACCAGAAGAAGAGCCGAGGGCTATGAGGGAGGGGGGAGGAGGGGGAGGGTGCTTAAGAAGGAAAAGTAAAAAGAGAAAAAGAGAGGAGATACCTATCCTTCACCCGCCACTGCCGGCGCTGGAATTGCGGCTCAAAGCTAAGATGCTGCCAGTTTGACATCAGCGCTGTCATGCAGGGGAGTCATGTTGGTTGAATGATGTGCCAATAAATGGTGCCAAATTGGTATGAAGATTTGAACCGTCAGACCAGTGCCGGCAGTGTCACAGATATAATAGGCATTTCGTCTTCTTTTCCCCTGTTCTTTTGTCTTCTCTCTCTGCCCAATTAATTATGGTGCACGCCGACAACTCTCGTCCCAATTATTCTGATCTTTGTTCATCTTCCAGTAAAAAACGCCTTCAAGAGCAAACAGGTCAGTGCTTTCAAGGAATTAAGGTAATCGATTTACTACCAAGTACCATGTACAATGTAAGTAAAATGCTCTTCAATGCACGGCGATGTGACGATCCGAGAGCTCCAGCGCTTGGTGCGTGTGCATCAACCAGCCAACCAACCAACAAGGCAAGAGGCACGTTGCCGTTGTCAGGCTGAAGTTAAGGAGGCGTGTTACGTCGAACATCACATTGTGCGAAGGTATTTTCGCAAATATGTTTGGCAGCTGCCATTTTTCAAGGGCGGACAATGCAAACATTGCTTATTCGTGCCTGGTAAGGCACTAGATTTCCAAAAGCCTCTTATGGGATTTCTAATTCTCTCCATCTGAGCGAATTATAAATTGACACAAACCGCACTTCATTGGCTTTAGCTTTTCCAACATTGCCTTAATTTTGGGTTGATAAAGTTTCTCTCGAAAAAGGTTGCGCGCCATCTTCCTACAAGAAAGCCATTCTATACCAACATAATTTGTTTCCTCCCGATAAGAAAGAAGTACTCTGCAAATCATGTTTCACTTGTCTAAATGGCGAAGCACTTGCCATGACAAAAGACAGCATTTGATGCATTCCACGGTAAAGCGACATGCTCCCTATACCCTCATCCATTGGATTTTGACTTAATGGAATGTCATGCATTGTCATCAGAACTGAAGTCGCCTGTAACATTTTTAAACCTCTCAGTTGCACCGTTTCGGAGTGACATCCTCCCACGATTTTGAGTTGTGTGGTTGCAAGCAAGGCTACGTTCGGTGACGATTTTTCTACTTGCTTGAAGATAACTTGGCAAACATATTCATGAAAATGATCAGAAGGCTGTCCAGAATACCTGTATGTATGTATAATACCTGCACCCAGACGTCAAACATAAAAAGGCGATCATCCGCTCAGAAAGACATGATCCATGCACGATCAAACCATGGGTAACGCTTAAAGACTGGGCGCGTGGTGCGCTGCGACAGGCTGCCCTCCTCCCCCATGTGGACTGCCGGAGCCGGTGTCAATGGTGCGGGAGGGCAGGTGCATGCGTAACGCGAGGGTAGCGTTGTCTTTTGCCCATGTGGCATGACTGAGAATTCAGACAAACGCCCACTGAAAGGCCCTTAGGCCAGTACTTGTGTGGATGGAGCGCGTGGGTGCATCAGCAAACAGTGTGACAACTGCGACAGATGGCGTCAAACGCGACTTTTCCCTGCAACAATGAAACGCTCAAGCAACGACAGTTGTGCCAATGCATTGGAAAGCTTAAAACGAGAGCACGGTGAGGCGTAAGGACCGGATCAAAAGGACCGGTCAATCGCATCCAGGATCACGGATAGCGGTCTTCACACTTCTGTGTTGCAACTATCGCAGCAAGCTTACCGAGCATGCTGGAAGCCCTCCTGGCGACAATAACGCGGAACCTATTGCGGAACCGGAATGCGAATTATCTAGCTCTCACACACAGGGGCAAAGCTTAACGGGCTCCGACTACCACGACTCGGATATAGAAGAAAATGTTTGAGTCGTTTTGAAGGGGCTCGAAAAAGCCAGTGCCTAGGGACAAGTACCTATATTTTTTAATGCTGTATGACTTATCACATTGTCATTCATCTTCACTTTTCGAAAACTTTTCATTGGGTCTACAATGACTGTGAGAAGTAAACAGCTGCATACGTCCACGCACTAAGATGTCGGGTACTTATGTAGAGGTCTTAGGTTGTGTACATTGTGCAAAAAGTATAAGCACAAGTATGTTTTGCAACAAGAAGTGCACAAGTATTTCACGTATATATCTATCTTTCCCGAATGCCTTTTCGCAACGCACATGCTTCGGTTCGCTGTAGAAGGCTTAGTTTCATCAAAGAGACAGACCAAACGAGCAGCGAAGTTGAAGAAAACAACCAGGCCAATATAACGCAAACCGGTACAGCCAATATCACGCAAACCGATACAACCTTTCGGCGTGGATACCCGCACTCCTGATGTCGCCCCTGTGAAAAGACGAAAGCTGGGAAAGGAAAACAAATTGAAAGATATGTAGCTCGCGCGCATCCAAGTATCACACTGACAAAGATGTGTAGCTCGCGCGCATCCAAGCATCACACTGACAAAGATGTGTAGCTCGCGCGCATCCAAGTATCACACTGACAAAGATGTGTAGCTCGCGCGCATCCAAGCATCACACTGACAAAGATGTGTAGCTCGCGCGCATCCAAGTATCACACTGACAAAGATGTGTAGCTCGCGCGCATCCAAGCATCACACTGACAAAGATGTGTAGCTCGCGCGCATCCAAGTATCACACTGACAAAGATGTGTAGCTCGCGCGCATCCAAGTATCACACTGACAAAGATGTGTAGCTCGCGCGCATCCAAGTATCACACTGACAAAGTGATGAAACATGCAGATAGCAAGTGGAGCACTTAACGCAAATAATCGCAGTTTCTCATGGCACGAGCAAGTTGAGACTAGCTTACCATACAAAACCATAAAACGTGGAACCAAAAACAGATTTGTGGTGCATGACTTTAAGGCTCATTACTAAATTTTTAACATTGTTTCGTCGGCTGTTTCAGATGCGAGCGCGTGATGAATGAGCTGAAAGGAAAACTCCAAAAGGACTGATAATCCTCAGGGAGGCCTACGGATCCTCACGTTGTCCCCATTTACGATCCAGAGAACTGCCCGTTTTTTTCGGAACGACACAGTGCATGGTACGTCGTAGCCTTAAACTCAAAGAGGAACACATAGTTTAACTAAAGATGTCTGCCTGCTCAAAGGAGAGAAAAATATCTTAGGAGGAAACCCAAAAGATATCTAATTTTGCGAATCAGATGCAATTAGTAGGATACGTCTAGGAAATAAAGGCTATGTAGCTGTGGGATATGAGAATGGTGATAAGGTGAGAAGACAAAATGCGACTTATTCTAGGATATCTGCAGGATATTTATTAACCGTATAAGGAAAAGGAAAGCATCGAAAGCATCGAA